CGGGCAAACCACTCACGCAGCTCCTGGGGAGAGAGTGGCTCCCGGCGAGAAGGAGCACCCGGAGAACCGCCAGGCACAGCACCACCAGGCGTAGCACCCCCAGGCTCAGCACCTCCAGGCGTAGTACCCCCAGGCTCAGCACCCCCAGACGCAGCACCCCCAGGCTCAGCACCTCCAGGCGTAGTACCCCCAGGCTCAGCACCCCCAGTCGTAGTACCCCCAGACTCAGCACCCCCAGACTCAGCACCCCCAGGCTCAGCACCCCCAGGCGTAGCACCCACACGCTCAGCACCCCCAGAGTCAGCACCCCCAGGCTCAGCACCCTCAGCAGCACCAGAGTCACCAGCGACCTCGACAGGCTCAACAGCGTCTACCTGGGACACACCTGAAGGGGCAGGACCCTGAGGGGGGAGGGGGTCTACCGGGGGGGGACCTGGTACAAGGAAGAGCGGTGGCGGGGGGAGGGACGGAGTGCGGTAGGGGAAGAGGCGGTAGTAGGGGACCGACTCGTCGAACGTGACGTCCTGGGAGGACAGAACACGGCGAGAGGTGGGGTGGTAGAACTGCCACCCTGGGGCGTCAGGGGGGAAACCCAGGAAGACGCAAGGAGCAGCACGAGGGGACAGCTTGTCCGCAGACAAGTCGCGGACAAACGCCCGAGATCCCCAGACACGGAACGCAGACGCATCGCCAACCTTCCCCGTCCACAGCAAAGCTGGGGAGGTCTCCGGCATGGAGACCTTGGGCTGAAGGTTGATCTGATGCGCCGCGTACCGAACCGCAAACGGCCACAGAAAATGGGGGGCAGCCGCATGCATCATGGACGTACGGGCGACGTCCATGACCATGCCAATGCGGCGCTCAGCAATCCCATTTTGCTGTGGAGAGTCCGGAAGCGTGAAGGTCTGGCGGATGCCTCGTGCACGACAGTAGGCTCGCAGAAGGCCAGAGGAGAACTCTCCGCCTCTGTCAGAGTGCAGACGCAGAACAGGAAAGTCCGAGCCGAAGCTCCGCCTGAGCTGGAGACGAGCTGCGCGGATCCAGTCGATCAACACCTCAGTGACATCACCCTTGCTGCGCAAGGGGAAGACTGTGGTGTAACGCGAGTAGTCGTCAACCACCAGCAGGAAGTAGCGCTCGTGACCCTGTCCACGGACGCGGGCCGGGCCCCACACGTCCATGTGAAGCGTCTGCAGCGGGGCCTCTGTCGGAGGAAACTGGGAGGAGTGAGGGGTAGCCCGCTGCCGTCCCTCGACACAGGGGACGCAGGTAGGGCCAGGCCCCGGAGGAAGGGGAGGGAGGGACCGGGGAAGACCAGAGACAAGGACACGGGAGGCCATGCTCCGGAGACGAAGCAGGGAGGGGTGACCAAGGCGGTGGTGCCAGAGGAGAGTCTCGTGAGACAGGAGGCGACACGAGCAGGGGGCAGACTCAGGACCAGACCTGGACGCTGCAGAAAACACCTGACCCGAAGCAGCTACCTGACCAGACGCAGGGACTGGAGGAGACGCAGTGGTCAGTGTGTACAGGCTCGACCCTGGCCGACGTGTAAACGTGGCCAGGTGGCGGCCTGTCCGAGCGTCCGTGCAGTGGGTCACCCGCTGACTCGCAGGAGTGAACTGGTGAACCCCCGCATCCTGTAGGTCAGCACCACTCACCAAGTTCGTAGAGAACGAGGGGAGGTAGAGACCAGACAGGGTGCCAGAGGGGGCCGCCGGACACGGGAGGACAGTGGAGAAGTGAGCAAGGACAGGACCTCCAGAGGGGTCTGCCAGAGAGACCGCAACTGGCCGGCCAAGCGGCGTGAGTGTGGTGCGGTCTCGAAAGAAGGAGCGAGAAGCCCCCGAGTCAAGGGTGAAGGTGTGGGAGGCCGAAGCCGACGCAGAACCTGAGAGAGCAGACTCACCAGCACCTGAGGGAGCAGACGCACCTAGAGCAGCAGCCTCGCTAGCACCTAGAGCAGCAGCCTCACCAGTACCTAGAGCAGCAGTCTCAATGCCCGGGTCGGGCGGAAAACACCGGTAACAGTCACCCTCATCACTAATAGTCACAGTATACACGGCAGCAAGAATAGCATCAAAGTCAAGGTCAAAGACAGCTACACCCGCCCTAGACAGCTCACCCCAGCGGGGGATCTCAGTGGCCTCAGGGAACTGGTGACGCCAAGCGTCCGTCAGGCGGCCAAAGCAGCGCTGGGTGGAGTGCGCACCCCCGCACTGCTCACCCGCGCGGTCGCCGGTGCGCAGGACGTAGGTGCACGGACCAGTACCCCCACCCCTCTGGCGTGCAGTGTACCACTCACGGAGCTGCTGAGGGGAGGGGACGTCACGAGTGCGCTGCTGCTGCTGCTGCTGCTGGTGCTGCTGGCGCTGACCACCACCGGAGCTGACCCTCTGCGCAGCGCCACCCCGACCAGCTCCACCTCCTCCGCCGCCTCCTCCTCCACCGCCGCCACCTCCGCTCCCTCCGCCACCGCCGCTGCCTCCTGCGCCTCCACTGCCGCCACCTACACCTCCACCCCCGCCACCACCCCCACCGCCACCCCCACCTCCTCCACCGCCTCCACCGCCGCCTCCACCGCCCCCGCTAGCTCCTCCAGCGCCCCTGCCCCCCTTGCCCCTGCCAGGGCGGCGTCTCCCGCTAGGGGTAGACGCTGCCCCAACCGACTCCAAACCAGCGAGGTCGGCCGCAGCAGCAGAGGCAACAGAGGGCAAAAGAGGGGAGGGGGAACACCCCTCAAAGATGGGGGTGCGAGGGTCACCACGAGAGGCTCCTACAGCGACTATGCTCTTTTCTGCTGCTAGGAGGGCCTTCTCGAGGAGGTCAACGGTGAGAGTGGTGGGACAAACCGAGAGGAAGTGGTCCCTGACTACGCGAAGGGAGTCAGGGAGACGGGTGACTATGTAGTAGAGGGTGATGTACATGGGGGGGGGGTTCTTGGCGCAGAACTCAGCAGGAAGCGCAGCGCGGTAGCGAGTGTCACTAGTGCGGAGGTGCGTAATGAGGTCAGCGACTGTGGGAAAGGCAGCAAGGTCAGGGAAGAGGTACGGTAGCATGAGGCGGCTCAGTGCAGCAGTGGCAGGGGAGGAGTAGCGTGCAACTACAGCGTCGTACAAGGTCTGAGCACTCTTGTACTGGCTAAAGTGCGCACGCTCAGAGGTAGGTAGGTGGCGACGCACAGCAAGACGTGCAGCAGCATCGCGCGTGGCCCACTGTGAGCGAACAGTGGCGTCAGCATCAGCAGCGGGGGCAGGAGAGGCACCAGAAGTGAGGTCAAAGAGGGAGAGGCCGTCTGCTCTGTCGCACTGTAAGAAAAGCTGCAGGTCATCTATCCAGACGTCAAAGTCAATGGCCCGACCCTCAGCGTCAAAGGCGAGGACACTAGGGGTAGCCATGACAGCAGTAGACTAGCAGTGCAAACAGTAGGGCGAGGGCAGTGCTGTGAGAGAGGCGCTGCTCTTACCGGACAGGGCGGTTCGGGCGGCTCGGCTGCAGGGCGGCTCGGCGGCTCGGCGGCTGGGCGGCTCGGCGGCGGGGCGGCACGGCTGCTGGGCGGCTCGGCTGCGGACAGGGCGGCTCGGCGGCTGGGCGGCTCGGCGGCTCGGCTGCTGGGCGGCTCGGCTGCTGGGCGGCTCGGCTGCTGGGCGGCTCGGCGGCTGGGCGGCTTGGCTGCTGGGCGGCTCGGCGGGGCCGCTGAGAGGGCGGCGTCCGGGGCCGCTGGGAGGAGGCGGCGGGGCCGCAAAGGTAAGTGGCGGGGCCGCGGAGGTAGGTGGCGGGGCCGCACAGTGAGGTGGCGGGGCCGCGAAGGTAGGTGGCGGGGCCGCACAGGTAGGTGGCGGGGCCGCGGAGGTAGGTGGCGGGGCCGCACAGTGAGGTGGCGGGGCCGCGAAGGTAGGTGGCGGGGCCACACAGGTAGGTGGCGGGGCCGCGGAGGTAGGTGGCGGGGCCGCACAGTGAGGTGGCGGGGCTGCGAAGGTAGGTGGCGGGGCCACACAGGTAGGTGGCGGGGCCGTACAGGTAGGTGGCGGGGCCGCGGAGGTAGGTGGCGGGGCCGCGAAGGTAGGTGGCGGGGCCGCACAGTGAGGTGGCGGGGCCGCGAAGGTAGGTGGCGGGGCCGCAGAGGTAGGTGGCGATGGGCGCGACGGGCGCGACGGGCGCGACGGGCGCGACGGGCGCGACGGGCCGGGAGGGCGGCGCGACTCGGGCCGGCGCAAAACGCGCTCCGGGCAGGAAAAAAAAAATTTTCGTGGTGGTGGGCCCTAGGAATCGTTCCCACTAGGGAACCTGCTCGATACCATGAGAAGAAACGAGGAATGGATGAACTATGAATGAATTGGGTACAAGTACTAACCCTAATTGGGTTGTACCCCTTATGGAGTACCCCACTATAGCCTACACAATATGCATGAGCTATAATGTTCTGACAAAGACCCGATCAGTATCAAACGCGTTTGAGAAGGAAAAAAACAAAAAACTTCCAACTTTCCAAAACGTGAAGACTTCAAGTGGACCCAACTAGAAGGGGGGGGTCACTATTTTAGCTGCGGGCTTTAAGTGCGGTAAGTGATCGGTTTTTGACGATCGATCGTGCAAAATCGAGAGAGGTGACGCGTCCTTAGAACTATCCCTGATTGTGCAGATGATAACCCCAACTGATGCGGAATTTCTAATTCAATGTGTATTTTTAAATGATTCATAAACATCTTGACTGATCATGCTCAAAGCAAGCTGCAAAGAGGCTCTTTCAAACTAGGGAACGTATCCAATTCTGGCAACGGGAGGCGCACTTTTGAGGCGCCGAAAAAGTAGACTGATGTTTCACTGGTGGGAAGGAGCCTATAGTCCCATACCGGTATCTTCCTATTCTTTTGAGTTGACTCAAAAGTCACTCTATTGGTGGGAAGGAACTAGAGCTCCATATCTTCCAATTCTGGCAGTGGGAAGCACACTCTTGAGGCGATTCAAAATTTGTATCTGGTGTTTCATCGGTGGGAAGGAGCCTATAGTTCCATGTCTTCCAATTCTGGCAGTGGGAAGCGAAGAATTGCAGCAATCCCAGCGAGATTCACCAGCTCTGCTCAACGCAGAATGGCATACCACAAAGAAGACAGAAGAGAGAATGAGACGGAGACATGATGCATATCGCCAGAAGCACGAGGTAGCTTGTAACATGTGGTACGCGGGATGTTGCAGGCAACATTAGAAATTGTGGTGTGGAGTGGGATACATACGCTCGCCAGAGACGTGCAAGGAGGAGAAGACGTGCACTTGCCCGCCATTCGCCCTCACTGATTCCACCAGATCCACGTAACGTCTTCTAGTCTTCACATCGGCGTTGCTGTGAAAAAAGGGGAGTGGCGTGGTGGGGGAGTAGGAGGAGGGGGATGGTTACAGCAGAGATCGGACGCGTGAGCACCCCAGAAACAGGCACCCTTCAATTACAGTGCTGATCTGGAAAAGGCAAACAAACAAACAAATAGACACTTACACAGGAGAGTGACACACTTTCATGGGCATACACTGGCAACGCATTCACCAAGTCTGATTATGAGTCGAGAGGAAACCAACCAGATAGCCGAGTTGACTTTTGAGTCGACTGAAATGTCAACTCTTTTGAGTCGACTCAAAAGTCAACATGGGGCCCATGGGCATACACTGGCAATGCGTTCACTGAGTCTGAGAACTTGAGTCGAGAGGAAACCAACCAGTTAGCCAGCAATCAGTAGGTCCTCACCGGAACAAATCATCGGAAATGAGAAGCGTGTGAATGGCAAGGCGCTCATTTGCTGCCTCCACATGCCCGGGACCGTAGAAGGCCCGTGCTGAGTCCTGTGGAAGTGTGGAGAGAGAAGGGTTAGAGGAGGGACCGTGCATACCAAAAAAGGTAATATGAGATAGGAGTGTGTGAATGGCAAGGCGCTCATTTGCTGCTTCCACATGCCCGGGACCGTAAAAGGCCCGTGCTGAGTCCTGTGGAAGTGTGGAGAGAGAAGGGTTAGAGGAGGGACCGTGCATACCAAAAAAGGTAATATGAGATAGGAGTGTGTGAATGGCAAGGCGCTCATTTGCTGCTTCCACATGCCCGGGACCGTAGAAGGCCCGTGCTGAGTTCTGTGGAAGTGTGGAGAGAGAAGGGTTAGAGGAGGGACCGTGCATACCAAAAAAGGTAATATGAGATAGGAGTGTGTGAATGGCAAGGCGCTCATTTGCTGCTTCCACATGCCCGGGACCGTAAAAAGCCCGTGCTGAGTCCTGTGGAAGTGTGGAGAGAGAAGGGTTAGAGGAGGGACCGTGCATACCAAAAAAGGTAATATGAGATAGGAGTGTGTGAATGGCAAGGCGCTCATTTGCTGCTTCCACATGCCCGGGACCGTAAAAGGCCCGTGCTGAGTCCTGTGGAAGTGTGGAGAGAGAAGGGTTAGAGGAGGGACCGTGCATACCAAAAAAGGTAATATGAGATAGGAGTGTGTGAATGGCAAGGCGCTCATTTGCTGCTTCCACATGCCCGGGACCGTAGAAGGCCCGTGCTGAGTCCTACAACATTGAAGGCGGCATGGCGGCATAAGGAGAGAGGGGTTGTGAACAATTTCAGAGTCGACTCTAGAAACACACGCGTCGTGGAGAATGAGAGCAAGAACAAGGAATACGTTCGTCATAGGCAGTCGCACATACGGTCGACTTTCGGATTTTCTCACAAGTGACTAAAACGCAGTTGCACTTACATTTGAAAGCATGGCGTAGAAGTCCTCAAGTGCTTTGACCTGGCCACCACAAGACATCACAAACAGGGAGAGAGAGGGAGAAGGAAAAAGGACGGGGCGGTTTGGATGTCACATCTAATATGATCACATCTGAGAGCATGCCATACAGGTCCTTCAGGCCGTTACCCTGGCCAAGAGGTATGGGAGGAAAAAAGCGGGGGCAGTAGGGAAGGGGGGGGGAGACGATGTTTCAAGCCAGCTAACAAGCCGCCTCCGGAAGAAGCGAAGTGATGAGAAGCAGAAAAGGGGTTTTTGAAACGTCTCAGAGTGGGTCATGGGTCATCATGGGTCATGGGTCCTGGGTCATCATGGGTCATGGGTCCTGGGTCATCATGGGTCATGGGTCCTGGGTCATCATGGGTCATGGGTCATGGGTCATCATGGGTCATGGGTCATGGGTCATCATGGGTCATGGGTCATGGGTCATCATGGGTCATGGGTCATGGGTCATCATGGGTCATGGGTCCTGGGTCATCATGGGTCATGGGTCCTGGGTCATCATGGGTCATGGGTCATGGGTCATCATGGGTCATGGGTCATGGGTCATCATGGGTCATGGGTCCTGGGTCATCATGGGTCATGGGTCATGGGTCATGGGTCATCATGGGTCATGGGTCATGGGTCATCATGGGTCATGGGTCATGGGTCATCATGGGTCATGGGTCCTGGGTCATCATGGGTCATGGGTCCTGGGTCATCATGGGTCATGGGTCCTGGGTCGGAACACAACCCACATGTAACCAGACCACACCATATTTAGCTTCTGCTTCATCACTGTCTCGCCCACCCACTCAATTATGCACGCACTCACTCCTCACTCACTCACACCCTCACTCCCTCACTCACTCACTCACTCACTCACATTCACTCACCTCCTTGGCTGCCTTGGTGTCTTTGATTTGAGTCATGATAGCTGGCAGGGCCAACACCTCTTTCACTTGAAGCGCCTCAAAGATAAGCCCATTCACTCACTCACGCATTCACTCACTCACTCACGCATTCACTCACTCACTCACTCATTCACTCACTCATTCACTCATTCACCCACTCACTCACTCATTCACTCACTCCCTCACTCACTCACTCACTCACTCACTCACTCACCCAACCACTCACTCACCCACCCACCCACTCACCCACTTACTCACCCGCTCACCTCCTTGACTGCTTTGGTGTCTTTGATCTGAGTCATGATCGCTGGCAGCGCCAGCGCCTCTTTCACTTGAGGAGCCACAAACAAAGGCCACCTTCCTCCCTCACCCACCCACTCACTCACTAACTCACCTCCTTGGCCGCCTTGGTGTCCTTGATCTGAGTCATGATAGCAGGCAGTGCCAACACTGTTTTTCACTTGAGGCACCTCAAAGATATGCCCACTTCAAGCAAACCACCTTCACCCAGTCACTCACCCACTCACTCCCTCACTCGCTCATTCACTCACCTCCTTGGCTGCCTTGGTGTCTTTGATTCAAGTCCTGATAGCCCACACCTCTTTCACTTGAGGCGCATCAAAGATAAGCCCACTCAAAGCAAATCAACTACACTCACTCGCTCACTCACCCACTAACTCCCTTCCTCACTCACCCACTCACCTCCTTGGCTGCTTTGGTGTCTTTGATTTGAGTCATGATAGCTGGCAATGCCAACACCTCTTTCACTTGAGGCGCCTCAATTATAAGCCCACTCAAACAAACCACCTTAACTCACTCACTCACCCACTCACCTCCTTGGCTGCTTTGGTGTCTTTGATTTGAGTCATGATAGCTGGCAATGCCAACACCTCTTTCACTTGAGGCGCCTCAATTATAAGCCCACTCAAACAAACCACCTTAACTCACTCACTCACCCACTCACCCACTCACCTCCTTGGCTGCTTTGGTGTCTTTGATTTGAGTCATGATAGCTGGCAATGCCAACACCTCTTTCACTGCATGCCTGCATGGGACACAGTCACGTCAACATGGGGGCGGGTGAATGCATTCTAACTTGTGTCTTTTATCGCAGCAGGCAGCGCCAACACCTCTTTCACTGCATGCCTGCATGGGACACAGTCACGTCAACAGCAGCAGGTACGGGTGCATTATTAAATCAGAGCGCCTTATTTTGAGAATTCTTCGAAACCAACAGCTCGTAATACAGCAATTAGGCATCCAACGCACTTGTATCCGGATGTTGAATGCGCGAGCACGATCTTGGCCTTGTTCTCGATTATAGCTCGGATGTTCTGCCGGGTTGCTTCCAGCAGCATGAACATCCCTCCCATTTGTATCATTCATCCCCCCCCCTCACATACTCACTTGTATCCCGATGTTGAATGCGCGAGCACGATCTTGGCCTTGTTCTCAATGATGGCTCGGATCGGATGTTCTGCCGTGTTGCTTCCAGCAGCATGAACATCCCTCCCATTTGTATCATTCATCCCCCCCCCCTCACATACTCACTTGTATCCGGATGTTGAATGTGCGAGCACGATCTTGGCCTTGTTCTCGATTATAGCTCGGATGTTCTGCCGCGTTGCTTCCAGCATCATGTACTCAAAGAACTGGTCCTGTGCTGTGTTACAGTGAATCAGCGATCGGAAAATGTAGAAAGTATGCTATTGTTAAACCATCTAACTGGCATAAACCAATGCTCGCTTCCAGCATCATGTACTCAAAGAACTGGTCCTGTGCTGTGTGGCAGTGATTGGTTGGGACGGAAGGGGGTACAATAAGTCGCGTATGGTATCGTTAAAACGTCTGACATAGACCAAGCTCCCTTCCAGCATCATGAACTCAAAGAACTGGTCCTGTGCTGTGCGGCAGTGATGGGAGGAAACATAGTACGTATGGTGTTGTTAAGGCATCTGAACAACACAAACCATGCTTGCAGCAGCATCATGTACTCAAAGAACTGGTCCTGTGCTGTGTGGCAGGGATCAGAACAGAGAGCAGCAACATGATATGTATGGTCTGATTAAGGCAAGTAGTTTTTAGCATGAACGAGCAAGTCATGTTCATGGTGTAGCTGCTGCCAAGAGAGGAGTATGCAATAACGAGGATGTGACGAACAGCAGTAGACGGACAGTACCTTGGTAAATCCAGGACTCGCTATAAGCAGGCAGTACCTTGGTAAATCCAGGACTCGCTATAAGCAGGCAGTACCTTGGTAAATCCAGGACTCGCTATAAGCAGGCAGTACCTTGGTAAATCCAGGACTCGCTATAAGCAGGCAGTACCTTGGTAAATCCAGGACTCGCTATAAGCAGGCTGTACCTTGGTAAATCCAGGACTCGCTATAAGCAGGCTGTACCTTGGTAAATCCAGGACTCGCTATAAGCAGGCAGCGGATAACATTGAAGTCGATGTGACGTTGCACACCCTGTGGGTGAGACCGGCGGAGAGAAGGGAAGGAGTGGGTGGAAGGGAAAACATGGACGAGATTGGGAGAGGAAGAGGAGATTAGAGAAGAAGATGAGAAGTGAGAGAGACGGAAAAGAGGTTGAGAGCACATTTTTGAGTCGATTAAAAAATCAGAGAAGCAGATGAGAAGAGAGACGGAAAGAGGTTGAGAGCACGCAAATAAGACGGAATTGAAATGCTATCTGAAAAACTGACAGCTGAAAAACATTCTCACCTGAAAGACATTCTCACCTGAAAGACATTCTCACCTGAAAGACATTCTCACCTGAAAGACATTCTCAAAGAACTTATTAATTGCCTGCATGTGAGACGGTGGAGCGGGGGGTGGGGAGAATGGAGGAATTATAAGGGCGCTCTTCACTTCAATTCGCAACTAGCATATCCCTCAGTCATCCATCACATGCCCCTCTGATCTCATCCCACCATGTCACCGGCCACCCAGGGCCTCACACACACCTTATCATACCCAGCGACAGCTGGCCCTCAAGCTGACTTTTTTAGTAAACTCAGAAGTCACCACAGAAACTCACCCCACCACGTCTACTACCCACCACGTCTGCTACCCACCACGTCTGCTACCCACCACGTCTGCTACCCACCACGTCTGCTACCCACCACGTCTGCTACCCACCACGTCTGCTACCCACCACGTCTGCTACCCACCACGTCTGCTACCCACCACGTCTACTACGACCAACCATGCAATGGGGCTCACACAAACCCACCTTATCGTATCCTGCAATTGCCGGCCCTCGTTTTTACTATTGATTCAACTCAAAAGTCACCCCAAAGCTCACCCCACCACGTCTACTACGACCAACCATGCAATGGGGCTCACACAAACCCACCTTATCGTATCCTGCAATTGCCGGCCCTCGTTTTTACTATTGATTCAACTCAAAAGTCACCCCAAAGCTCACCCCACCACGTCTACTACGACCCACCATGCAATGGGGCTCACAAAGGCACACCTTATCGTATTTTGATATGGCCGGTCCTCGTTTTGGAGTTTGAGCCAGCTATAAAGTACCTCCAAACTCACCCCACTACATCTACCACCAACCACGTCTGCTACCCACCATGCAATGGGTTCCCACACACCCACCTTATCATATCCTGCAATTGCAGGCCCTCGTTTTCTTGGGATTGGCGTCTCTATGCGCGCTTTTACTGTAGTCACACTGTTTACATACAAGGGAAAAGAGGGTACGAATGGGGATTTGAGAGGTCGCCAAAACTCTTCATAATAGTGTAACTCTGTGCAGAAAAAATCGAAGTATCCTTACAACTCACCTTCCCCTGATCTCGCCTCCCCAACAGATGTCACATGCAATCCAGACCCTCAATTTTTGTAGACTTTTTTAGCACGAACAGAGATACACTAGTTAGGTCAGTTCTTTGGGTGCCTCAACACCTGAGTCTCACCTCCCCCACGTATTACCTCCCCCAGGTCTCACCTCCCCCCAATAAGACAAACGTTAGCCAGCCCCTCCTGCATCACCACCACTGCTAGGTCCGCATTGGCTGACGGGTCTGCAGGTAGAAGGGGAAGGGCGGAGGGGGGAGAAGGGGTGGTGGTGGTGGGTTGGGGTGGAGGGGAAGGGAGAGGTGGGGGAGTGGGAGAGGTAAGAGAGAGAAGGGGACATTGGATATGTAGGAAAGACGTAAGCCAGCCCCCAACCCCTCCTGCATCACCACCACTGCTAGGTCCGCATTGGCTGACGGGTCTGTGGGACGAAAAGGGGGAAGTGGGGGGCATGGAAGAGGTGGAGGAGGGGGGGGGTTAGAGAGAGGAAAGACTAATAAGTCTGTGGGTTGGGAAATGAAAGGGAAAAGCCAAGGGACAGGGAAAGTAGAAAACGGAAAGGCAAGGGAGGAAGCAAAAAAACGCGTTACCCTCCTTTTGCATCACCACCACACAAAAATCCCCCCCCACCCGTAATCCCTTTCACTCACTCACCGCATGCCTCCTTGAGCCGATCTACAGCCATTGAATACCACACACCCTACCGCTCGCCACATACCCCCACACATCCCCTGCAATTTCCCCCTTTGAGTCGACTCAAAAGTCAACTCCCCATGCCCATAATCCACTCCACTTCACTCCACCCACTCACCACACGCCTCCTTGGGCCGATCTACAGCCACTGAGTCCCACACCACACGCCCTACCGCTCACTGCAGACCCCCACTCGTCCCGTCCCGTGTCAGCCCATTCTTACAGCACACCCAATCCTCCCTCCCTCCCATCCCATGCCCATGTTCGCCTCCACCCACCCACTCACCACATGCCTCTTGAGCCGGCCTATAGCCACTGAGTCCCATACGTCGTACCACTCACCACAGGCACCCAGTCGCCCCACGCTAGCACATCCCCCCACCACGGATCAACCCCCCCATTTTCATATTCCACTCCACGCACTCACCACACGCCTCCTTGAGCCGGTCTATAGCCACTGAGTCCCATACGTCCTGAAAAGGAAAGCCAGCAGGGGCATGGAAAAAGGGGTGCGGGAGGGGAGGGGTGGGGGAGGGGTGCGGGAGGGGAGGGTTGGGGGAGGGGTGCGGGAGGGGAGGGGTGGGGGAGGGGTGCGGGAGGGGAGGGGTGGGGGAGAGATAAGAAGGGGAGGGGAGACATGCACGTCAGAATGGCCCCTAGGCTAGGCCCGGGCCTGCTGTCGACACCCGGGATTTGGCAACAATGGATAAATGCCAATTCACGACAGAACAACAGAGAAGGAAAGAATGGTTCACACGAGTACCTTGGTGAGTGTGAAGGCCCGCTGCAGGTCCAGCTCTAGTGTGTGGTAGGACCCGAGCTGCCGTGCAGTGCAGGGAGGGGGCAGATGAGAAGAGCAGGGGTGGATATGGGCAAGAGAGGAGGGGGTGGGGTGGACAAGTAAGGAGAAGGACAGTCGGATCACACAGGTGCAGATCCAGCTCAAGTGTGTGGCAGGACCCTAGCTGCAGTGCAGTGCAGGGAGGGGGCAGATGAGCGCAGCGTGAGAGAAACAGATATGGGTAAGAGGAATGCGTAGACAGGGGAAGAGGAACGCGTGGACAGGGGAGGAGAGAAAGGGAAAGGGGTAGCTTGATGACAACGCTTCACAGGTCTGGTCCAGCTCCAGTGTGTGGTACTAGGACCCTAGCTGCAGTGACCAGGCAGATGAGAGCAGCGTGAGAACAGCGAAAGGCCAGATATGGGCCCATATCTGGCCAGAGAGGAGGGGGATGGCAAAAAAAGAGAAGGGCGACTGTGCGTGTGTGAAACTTACACACTCGTTTCTCTCTCACTTGTGCGCTCTCACTCTTTTTCACTCATGCTACCCTCACCACCTCACCTTCACATGCTCATTCTCTCTCAGTGACGTTCTTCCCGCGAACTCGAAATGACTTCTGAGTCGACTCAAAAGTTCACTCACACTCCACTCCACTCCACTCCCCTCACCTTCACATGCTCATTCTCAGTGACGTTCTTCCCGCGAACTCGAATCACGTGCGCCGACGCATCAAAATCCACTTCCTGTACATTAAAGATTGGGAGGGGCAAGACCAACCGAAGAAAGCAAGCAGTTTTAGTTTTTTTCCTATCACAAAATTGAATGACCTTGTTATTCCAGCACCCGTTATTCTCACTCTAGTGACTCACCCCACCATCACCCCTCCCCTCCCCTCTCACCTCCACTGCTACTTCCAGCCTCAGCAGCAGCATTTTCACCCCCATTACGCTCTCACCTCCACTGCCACTTCCAGCCTCAGCTTAATCCGCTCCGACTCATTGCGACCCTTTCCCCTCCCTCCCCCCCCCCCCCCCCCCCCCCCCCCTTCCCTGCCACTTCCCTGCCTGTCTTCTTTGTCGCTGCGCTGCCTTTACTGCAACACCCCTATCCTCTCTCTCTCCCCAGCACCGCCCTCCCCTCTCACCTCCACTGCCACTTCCAGCCTCAGCAGCAGCATCTGCCCAGGCATTTCAATACCTTCCTCGTTACAGCCTGCCCTGTTACAGCGTACATCCTCGCCCCCATAATGTTCTCACCTCCACTGCCACTTCCAGCCTCAGCTTAATCCGCTCCGACTCATTGCGACCCTTTCCCCTCCCTCCCCCCCCCCCTCCCCCTTCCCTGCCACTTCCCTGCCTGTCTTCTTTGTCGCTGCGCTGCCTTTACTGCAACACCCCTATCCTCTCTCTCTCCCCAGCACCGCCCTCCCCTCTCACCTCCACTGCCACTTCCAGCCTCAGCAGCACCATCTGCCCAGGCATTTCAATATCTTCCTCGTTACAGCCTGCCCTGTTACAGCGTACATCCTCGCCCCCATAATGTTCTCACCTCCACTGCCACTTCCAGCCGCAGCTTGATCCGCTCCGACTCACTACCTGCTATCCTCACTCTACTCACTCACTCTCAACTCCCCACCACCCTCCCCTCTCACCTCCACTGCCACTTCCAGCCTCAATTTGATCCGCTCCGACTCACTGCCGCCCCCTCCCGTCTCCTTCTGCACCTTCCTGGAACCATCCAGCAGGAAGAGGAAGGTAGATTTGTGGGAAGGAGGAGAGAGTGTTGGTTTGGGGAATTTGAGTCAGCGCATGAGAAGATTGTTGTGTTGTGGGTCAGCGCAATCGTTGAGTCAGCACATGAGAAGATTGTTGAGTTGACCCGCAACGACTTCTTGCTGCGTTAGTTCAGGTACTGTAAAAAACCACCCGAGCGTTCAGGAACGAGGGTCCACTCAGGTACCTGAACATCCATCTGAGAATGTACCCGAACATCCATCTGAGAATGTACCTGAACATCCGTCTGAGAATGTACCTGAACATCCGTCCGAGAATGTACCTGAACATCTACCTGAGAATGTACCTGAACATCCGTCTGAGAATGTACCTGAACATCTACCTGAGAATGCACCTGAGCATCCACCTGAGCACGAACCTGAACGTGGTGCTCTGCACATGGTCGTGCGGAGCAATGAGGTTGTACGCATGCCATAGGTCCTCCTCCACCTCGGGTACGATCTGGTGGGATGGATGGAGGGAGGGAGGGGGGGGACAGAAAGAAGGTTTAGGGAACTTAGGGAACACCATTCTGAGAAATCTTTGACACTTAGCCAAGCCTAGCATGGCATGCACAGCCACACCTGCTTTTTATTTCTTTGGACGGGGTGGGGAGTGGGGGGGCGGGGAGGGGGTTGAAATGCGAATGGTCAAAGGAGATAATTCCATACTCCCCAACACACCTTAGCCACCCCTGGGCCGTCCTTCTCGAAGCTTCTCTTCAGAAGCTTCATCGCAGATTCCGATGGCGAAGCTTCGTTCGGATCGACGGAAATTACTTGATCTGATCGAAAGCCAGATGGCGCAAGCTAGTCTAACGTGATATCGCCAGCTGTAACGGTGGGATGAGTACAGTAGTGTAGTATGTATTTGTTGGTTCTGTTTCATTCGCCACCGGCAGCCAGCACAGCACTAAAGAGGAGTGTGACGAAATAAGAGTCGGCTGTTTTTGTCGTACTTCTTTATGTCCACAAAATAAGATGGATTCTGAAAGCCAACTCTCGAACTGAAGGAGGGTGGAGGGACAAAATCGCTGCTCGTAACCACACTAAACCTGCTTAAAATGTTTCTGAACCCATCAAACCACGTCTAACTCCGTTACTACAAGGCTGTCGGGGATTATTCCCCGCAACCTGCTCCACGACCGTTGCCCTCTCGTCGGCAACCCAGCGACAATGCTCTCTATTATGGGCAGCTTCGATACAGTTTACCCCCAAGATCTCACTGTACACCAGACTACAGATTACATTTAGATATATTCCTGTTATCCAGCAGTAACATGTTTTGCAGGTGGAAAAACATTACCGTATCTGCTCTTTTTTTGGCTCCTGAAACTGTTGAAAAGCACACTCGGTAGAAAAAAAAGCATTTCATTTAGCATGCATGCATACCATAGTTGAGCTTTACACAACACAACCAAACCACCAGATACCTACTTCCAGCCCACCGTTCCTTGAGAGAGGCAGAAAAGAACAGCACACACAAGAAAACGAACAATTTCAAAGCTCCCAAATGCTTCTGATTTGAACTCCACCCCGCCTTCTTGTTTCTCCTCTCCAAGGTCCCCCACCACCAGAGGGCCAACCATCCCTGCAAGACACTTGAAATCACTTCAGTGCAATCTAGTCATCACCATCATCATCATTGTTCCCGCGTCCTCCCTTCCTCCCTCCCTTCCTGCCCGCACCACTCCCATTGCAGTTTCCAGACCCACTTCCATTGCAGTTCCCACCACCTCCCCCACCACTCCCCTTCCTGCCCGCACCACTCCCATTGCAGTTTCCAGACCCAGACCCACTTCCGTTGCAGTTCCCGCCTCCCCCACCGCTCCCCCTCAACCCCGCGCCAGCCCCCTTCCCTGCGCCTGCACCCGTGCGTCCCGCCGCTCCCTGCCGCCCGCCCCCGCCGCTCATGCCGCCCGCTCCGCCTGCGCCTGCGCCACGTTCGCGGCCCTGCTGCTGCCCCGAACCCTGCCGACCAGCGCCGCTGCCATTGCAGCCGCCAGATCGCGAGCACGAGGAGGAACGGGAACCAGAGGAACCAGAGGAGCCGGAGCCAGAGCCGTCGCGCTTGCGGTCGCGGTCGCGGTCCTGGTCGCCAGAGCCGTCCCTCTTGCGATCCCTCTCCCTGTTGTCCGCCACCACGTACCCCGCACTCTGCATGCCACCGCTCTGCATGGCGCTCTGAATGCTCGCCGCCGCCGCGTTTCTCCGCGACCCTCCGCCTCCGCCGTTGCACGAGCCGGACCCGCTGCCGCTGCAGTTTCCGCTGCCCTTCTTGCCTTGTCGCACCTTGCCAGCGCTGTTGCTGCCGCCCAGCTGCCCCCCGCGACCCGCACCCGCGCCAGCGCCGCTCCCCGTTCGTCCCGCTCCGCCTCCGCGCCCGCCTGCGCCGCTTCCGCCCTGCCGGCCGCTGCCCTGCCGGCTGCCGCCGCCGCTGCCTGTGCAGCCGCCGGATTTGCTGCAGGAGCCGTCGCCCTGCTGGCCAGTGCCAGTTTTCTGGCGGCCGCCGCTGCCGCTGCCGGTGCAGCCGCCGGACTTGCTGCAGGAGCCGTCTCTGTCACGGTCCCTGTCACGATCCTGGTCGCGGTTGCCGGAGCCATCCCGCTTGCGATCGCGCTTCGGACGGTCGTCGTCGTCGTCTGCGACGGCGAAGGTCGCCAGGCTGGCAACGACGAGCAGGAGGATCCCGAGGGCGAGAAGCTTCGACGAAGCCATTGGTATACTCAGATGTCCACGGATGGTCTACAGAGCGGGTCGGTACTTGTAGTAGCAGAAACGAAAGACCTATAGAGAAAGAGTTAATCTGCTATCGAGAGAGGAATGGAGGATTTAGTTCCAGAGGATGATGAGAGACAGGAATGGGATCGAGATTTATAGTACAAACGGGTGGTAATGGTTTGGGGGCTGTGCCGCGTGGTTCCGCGGGGCTGTCGCGCCCTGGTTTCCGCCGAGAGCGTGGCGCACTGCGCTGGTGTTAGGCGCGAACCTGCTTCACTCGAGTTCAGGGAACGCGCGCCGCCGTCGCAGCAGAACACACACACCCGGCGGGGGGGCGCGAGCGCGACACATGCAGAACGCGCAACACACACGCCGCAGCGGAACGTGACGTGGCGAGGCGACATCCAGGCTTGCTCGCGCAACCGAGGCGTAACTCGAGTAAGCCCCGTTCCACCCTCGGCGGAGGCGGCTGTGGGCGAAGCGTTTCCACGGTAGTGAGACTGAGCGCCTGCGCGAGAATGCGCGGCGCCGGGGGAGGAGGGAGGGAGGGACTGGTGAAGAAGAGGGTCTTCCGGCGCTCGGAAGTTTCTTCGGAAAGGACGGGCGGAATGGCCGCCACGCCCTTGACGAGCTGCACGCGCATGTTGAAATACATCCGGACTGGCCGTTAGCTAGAGTGGCGCAAAGGGTGGGGTGGGGTGGGGTGGGATTCGGCTGCCAGCCGAACTTTCTCGCTGCCTTACTTCTTCCCAAGCCACGCTGGATGCAACTACCAATGGCAGGTCTCCTCGTAGGGTTGACCTGTCAGGTAACTTACTGGCAGGTTATGCCCTTGACAGTGTCGTAGCCAACCAACCATCTGGTTTCATGATAACATATACTACACCATGGCGCACCATAAAATCTTTTTACGACAGCACAACACACGCTCGTACGCGCGCTGAGCTGGCGCAAGATTTCGACTAGTTGCGCTGCGCTGCACGGTCATACCTACAAGTTTACGAATCGTTTCTGGCGAAGGCTCGACTCTTGCCCAGCTGGGTTTTCCCTCGAAGCAGCAGCTGTCTGTGATGCTTCTGAGGAAAGAACTGGTGGTTGAAATAGGTACAAAAGTGTAGTTTTTCATAGTAGCGGGACTAGCTAGACATACAGCTAATATATAGAGGTTTGAATATCTCCTCACTACATTGTTAGCACTTCTAACGTCACTCCACACACGCGAAAAAATATTAAATATCGATAATATGGGTCTGACATCAACTTTAGGTCAATTTTCCATTCAAAAAAAGTTTGTAGCTCAATTTCTATCTGATAGGTATCTTCATGTGTGTGTGTACCAAGCCACTTCCCTCAAGCCTTGACCTACACGCTATCCGCGCTATTGGTCACCTCGCCGTTGGTAACTTCTTGCGAAACACCTCAAAGCTTCAAATCCCCTCTTTCCAGCGGAGCGAAAGTATGCTCGAGTTTCCAGCGGAGTTACGCCTTTCGCGAAACGCAAGTCGCGCTCACCACCACCAGCGGCGACGTTCGCTAGCTTGCATGTCAGCCAGGGGAGGAGCCTTCGCCAGAAAATACCTTGTTGTCCTGCACCGCAGGAAGGGATTTGATTGAGCAGAGGGAACTACCTGTTCGCGACTAGCAGCACTACACAGCGTTGTCGGGTCGGGTCAGGTTATTCCTGACTTAGGCGCGTGCGACTGCAGGGAGGGTGTTTTATGAAGCTGTTTCCACGAAAACCTCCTTTCGCGTCGCTGCCTCCCTCCCTTTTTCTTTTCCCCCCTCTCCGCGGCAGTCTCCCCCGATGCGGCATTGTCGCGCAGGGGCGCGCGGGAGCACGTTTCTGAGCAGGTTCGCGACTCGGCGTCGGCCGTCGACGCCATTTCGAATGGCCTTGTACTATAAATGTCGTCGTGTTTCATCGAACCTCCTCATCGTTCGAAAGCATATCTTCCCACCAAAGTCTCGCACTCGAATCTGCGATCGCAACCACAGCTTTCCAACACATTGACGGCCACCCGTTAGATCCGACCGTCTATCTCCGACAACTTGTAAGGCGACCGTCTATTTGGCACTTCAGAGCCATCCATTGGAGCCAGCTGGCTTTACCAACTTGACAGTTGACTGTTGACTTTGGTACCATCCCAAATTCATCTCTCCAATCCGGCGATAGTATAGTACCGATGACTTCGTCGAAGCTTCTCGCCCTCGGGATCCTCCTGCTCGTCGTTGTCAACCTTGCTACCTTCGCTGTCGCAGACGATGACGACGACCGTCCGAAGCGCGATCGCAAGCGGGACGGCTCGGGCAACCGCGACCAGGATCGCGACAGGGACCGTGACAGAGACGGCTCCTGCAGCAAGTCCGGCGGCTGCGCCGGCGGCGGCGCCGGCGGACGACAGAATGCTGGCGCCGGCCGGCAGGGCGGCGGCGCCGCGGGCGGAAGCGGCGCAGGCGGGCGCGGAGGCGGAGCGGGACGAACGGGGAGCGGCGCTGGCGCGGGTGCAGGTCGCGGCGGCCGGCTGGGCAGCAGCAACAGCGCGGGGAAGGTTAGGCAGGGCAAGAAGGGCGGCGGAAACTGCAGCGGCGGATCCGGCTCGTGCAATGGTGGGGGCGGAGGGTCGGGGAGAAACGCGGCGACGGCGAGCATTCAGAGTGCCATGCAGAGCGGTGGCATGCAGAGTGCGGGGTACGTGGTGGCGGATAACCGGGAGAGGGATCGCAAGAGGGACGGCTCTGGCGACCAGGACCGCGACCGCGACCGCAAGCGCGACAGCTCCGGCTCCTCTGGTTCCTCTGGTTCTGGTTCCTCCTCGTGCTCGCGATCTGGCGGCTGCAATGGCAGCGGCAGCGGTGCTGGTCGGCAGGGTTCGGGGCAGCAGCAGGGCCGCGGACGTGGCGCAGGCGCAGGCGGAGCGGGCGGCATGAGCGGAGGTGGCGGGCGGCAGGGAGGGGCAGGACGCACGGGCGCAGGTGCAGGGAAGGGGGCTGGCTCGGGGATGAGGGTGAGCGGTGGGGGAGGCGGGAACTGCAACGGAAGTGGGTCTGGGTCTGGAAACTGCAATGGGAGTGGTGCAGGCAGGAAGGGGAGCGGTGGGGGAGGTGGTGGGAACTGCAATGGAAGTGGGTCTGGAAACTGCAATGGGAGTGGTGCGGGCAGGAAGGGAGGAAGGAAGGGAGGACGCGGGGACAGTGACAATGATGGTGGTGATGACTAGACCGAGTTGCATTTTCTCAGTGTGATTTCAACTGCCTTGCAGGGATGGCTGTGTGTGTGTGTGGTGGGGAAGCATGGAGAAAAGAAGCAAGGACGTGAGGGAAGGAGGTGGGGTTTCGGGAGCATTTTGCAAGTGGCAGGTTGAATTTATAGGACTGGTGGGCTGGAAGGAAGTGAGCTAGTGGTTTCTTTGTGTTGTGCATGTGGGCTCTGTTTTGCCTTTGCTTTTATAATGTGTAGTTGGTTTGGCTCTATTATTATCAACCATTGGTTGAGGTTTGCTGCATATAGGGCTATACACATGCCTTCTTTCTGTACAATATACGCATACAACAACAGAGTATAGATCACGCACTCTCTTTTCTTATGCTCCCCCTCTACCCACTATCCCAACGCCACAACACGGGAGGACGTTGCCGTTGCCTTGGTTTTTCCTGGGGGGGTGGGATGGGAGGATTTTCCACCTGCTCTTTCAGGACTTTCCACCTGCTCTTTCAGGATTTTCCACCTGCTCTTTCAGGATTTTCCACCTGCTCTTTCAGGATTTTCCACCTGCTCTTTCAGGATTTTCCACCTGCTCTTTCAGGATTTTCCACCTGCTCTTTCAGGATTTTCCACCTGCTCTTTCAGGATTTTCCACCTGCTCTTTCAGGATTTTCCACCTGCTCTTTCAGGATTTTCCACCTGCTCTTTCAGGATTTTCCACCTGCTCTTTCAGGATTTTCCACCTGCTCTTTCAGGATTTTCCACCTGCTCTTTCAGGATTTTCCACCTGCTCTTTCAGGATTTTCCACCTGCTCTTTCAGGATTTTCCACCTGCTCTTTCAGGATTTTCCACCTGCTCTTTCAGGATTTTCCACCTGCTCTTTCAGGATTTTCCACCTGCTCTTTCAGGATTTTCCACCTGCTCTTTCAGGATTTTCCACCTGCTCTTTCAGGATTTTCCACCTGCTCTTTCAGGATTTTCCACCTGCTCCTTCAGGATTTTCCACCTGCTCTTTCAGGATTTTCCGCCTGCTCCTTCAGGATTTTCCACCCGCCTTTTCAGACCCATTGGGGGACGAAGAGGCTCCATCTCTTTCTGGGAGGAGGTGGGAATCGGCACTTGGGTGGTGGGGGCCTGGGAGGAGGGGGTTTAGGTGGGGGGCTGGGCTTTCTAGGAGGTGGGCTGGGAGGAGGGGACGGAGGAGGTTGGGTGGGAGAGATTTTGCCCCTCACTCTCAGGCCCACTGGGGGAAGAGAAAGCCCCATCGCTTCCTGGGAGGAGGTGGGTACCGGCGCTTGGGTGGTGGGGGAGGCCTAGGAGGAGGGGGTTTCGGTGGTGGGGGGCTGGGCTTCCTAGGAGGTGGGGGAGTGGGAGATGGTTTGTTTGGGTTGGGTGGGACAGTTTCCATCCAACCATGTCAGGCCCACTGGGGGAAGAGAAAGCCCCATCGCTTCCTGGGAGGAGGTGGGTACCGGCGCTTGGGTGGTGGGGGCCTGGGAGGGGGTGGTTTCGGTGGTGGGGGGCTGGGCTTTCTAGGAGGTGGGCTGGGAGGGGGTTTCAGAGGTATGGGAGGTGGTTTGGGAGGAGGAGAGGGAGGTGGTTTGGGGGGAGGGGAGGGAGGGGGTCTTGGTGGGGGAGGGCTTGTGAGTGATTTCAGTGGTGGGGGGCTTGGGGGTGGTCTAGGGGGAGGGGAGGGTGGAGGCTTAGGGGGAGGAGAGGGGGGAGGCTTAGGGGGAGGGGAGGGCGGAGGCTTAGGGGGAGGGGAGGGCGGAGGCTTAGGGGGAGGGGAGGGAG